CCTTGGCCCAGGGAATACATAGGCTAACTGCAATAGGGAAGGGCACAGACACAGGAGAACCTGAAATTGACAAGTGGGATATACTAACAATAAAACACCTGCGTGTGTCGAAAACTTCACCAAGAGAACCCACAGACTGGGAGAGGGTTTTTAGCAATGACACAACAGACGAAGAGCTTATTACTAAAATCTACAATACCCTCCTACCCTGCAAAACGAGGAAAACAACCCCCTGAGGATGTGGGCAAAAGACCCAAAAAGAGGTTTCACTAGGGTGGAGATCAGAATGGCCAGTTAGCATGAGAAAATGCTCCCAATCATTAGCCATCAGAGAAATGCAAATTTAAACAACCATCTAATACCCTTGAGGATAGCCCAAATCAGAAAATCAGAGAGCAACAAATGTTAGGGGGAATGTGGCGAGATAGGTACTCTCTTCCATTGCTGATGGTCATGTGGATACGTACAGCCTCTGTGGAAAGCGATCTGGTGATATTTAAAGCAAACAGAAATTGAGTTACCTTATGACCTAGCTATCCCTCTATTGGGCATATACCTAGAAGAGGTAAGAAATAAACCATGATCAGTCATCTGCACTCCAATGTTTACTGCAGCACAATTCACAATCACAAAGAATAGGAAACAACCTAAATTTCTATCAATAGACTGGTGGGTTAGAACACTCTGGCACAAACACACACAATGGAGTACTACACATCACTAAAAAGCACTGATGATCACATGAAGCACGTTGTTTCAAGGGAAGAGTTGGAGGAAATTTTGCTAAGTTAAGTTAGCCAATCATAAAAGGATAAATACAACATGAGTCCACTGAAGTAAGTATAATAGCACAGTAGGTATAGAAGAAAAGACACTTATCTCACATTATACAGGGTTGAGGTACAGGCAGTTGGATGGAGGTCAGACCAAACCCAAGGAGGTACATGTTATTCTAACACAAAGAAGGAGAAAGAGGGGAAAGGGAGGGAGAAAAGGAGTGGGGAGGATGATAGCACAGGAGGAGCGGGGCACTAACCCACCCAGGGGGAGAATATTGGTTAAGTCTCCACAGAAATTGAGTGTGCATGCAAATCCCCCACAGTGCACCAAACCTTGAAAGCAATGCATGAAGCAATTGGGCTACAGGCAGGCCCCAATCACAGCCAAACTGACCCTCCCTAGAAGTTGTGCTTCAGAGAACAACACTAAACCCACAGGTTGGGGAGAGGGGACAGTATGCCACACCCACACGGAAGCAAACCAAGAAGGACAAAGAGAAAAGGATGGTCTAGACCCCATATGGCACCAAGCCCAGAGGACGACGTCCCTGCACGGAGTTGCTAAGGCACAGAGGGGGCTGCAGGGCCGACAACAGCTCAAGACATGTTGTCCTTTCACTGGAGCACACCATGACAGAGGACAATATGGGGACACACAGTGGGGTGCTAGTCCGATCTAAACCTCTCTGGGGTGAACCAAGAAGGGAACATAACAGAAACCATGGGGGAAGGGAGCTAGCAGTTGTTGTAAGATATGAAAATAATAATTTATAATTTATCAAGGGGTCACAAGGGTGAAGGGGGAAGGAAGGAAAAATGAGGAGCTGGTACCAAGAGCTCAATAGAAAGTAAATGTCTAGAAAAGAATGATGGCAACATATGTACAAATATGTTTGATACAATTGATATATGGATTGTTATAAGAACCAATAAAATGATCTTTTAATTAAAAAATCATTATGAACTTTGAGAAAAGAATCAATGTGCATAGCCTCATGTCTAGTAGGTCAATTTTTTTTTTCTAGTTCAGAAATTCATTAAGTAGATATAATTCAAGGTACCTAATTTCCAAAACAATAGTAAACTATATGACTATAATACAGCTGAGATTATTAACACATCAATAATTTAGTCCTAACTGCTTCCTGATTCCTTATATATGCACTGAACAAATGTAAAAATAAATTTCTTAGGTTGTATGTCTAAAGGTGAAAAGTTATTATTCACCCACTACAAATATATATCTAAATTTGCTTCTACTATTTTACAGTCAATGGAAATCAAGAATGTTAATAGATTAAATACTGCAACTATTTGCTTAAAAAAAGACAACTACTGCCAAGATCAAGGGACATTATTTATAGATCTGATACTACATAAAAGAATAAGAAAATAACAATTTAAGATTTAAAAATATATATATTTCATTGTGATTTGAGTGAATATTTACAGACAAATTAGTTTCCTGTTCAGGAATGAACACACATTTTGTTTTGTATCATTAACTGCAACCCTCTTACTGTAATTGCACATTTCCCCATTCCTCCCTCAGTTTATCACTTTCATTTGACCCCGTCTGCCTTCTGAACTGTCTTTTTGGCACATGCTGCCATGTTGTTCTGATGAGCATGTTCCTCACGAGTTTTACTGTTCACTTTATAGGATGATTATTTGGTTGAAAGGTGATCCATAGGAGTGGGTTCAGTTACAAAGCTGAAGGATGTTTAAGGGCCAAAGTATCAGGGATTTTTAAGAGAGTTTTTAAAAAAATACTTCTTTTAAAAACGTAAAAGAAGGGCAAATACTAGACAGGTAGAACAAAAAGAACTCTCCACACAAAAAAGGGATTGGTGAGGCAATATACAGTTAACCCAAGGAGTAATTCACAACAGCTACAATTGCAAGGGGGCAGCAAAAAAAAGGCTGGAACTATTTTTTTCAAAGTTATGTATTTAATTTTTTTTTGTGTGCAAAACAACCTTATCACCTTCAAAGTACTCTCCATTACACTTAATACATTATCTGCTATTCCACTCTTGGAAATCCTTTTCAAACTCATCTGTTTGGATGGCTGACAGCATCTCCTTTCTTTTTTTCTTCACCTCTTTTTACATGTCAAATCGCTATCCATTCATGTCCCTCTTCATTCATGGAAACAAAAAGAAGTCACAGGGAGTGAGGTTAAGTGAGTAAGGTGTGTGGGGCAAGAGAGAAATGCTGTGTTTTGCCAAAGACTGGTGTACTGAGACGGCTGGTGAACAGGTGTGTTGTTGTGGTGGCAAAACCAGTGCCCTAGCTGCCACAACCCAGGTCCTTTTTGTCACACACTGTTACACACTCTTTTCAGAACTTTTAAATAGAAAATTTGATTAACAGTCTGACCTGGTGAAACAAACTCAAAATGAACTCCCCTTGCCCTCACATCAAGAAAACAAATGAGCATCATATTGATCTTCTATTTCACTTGACGAGCTTTTGGGGGGGTGAGTTGACAATGGCGTCCTTCACTGGTTTGAGTGGTGTTTGGTTTCAGGGTTGTAAGAATAGCACCTTGTCTTGTCACCAGTATGACCTTTGGGGGGGGGAAAGTCTGGGTTGTTTCAGAGCTGTTCATTCAAAGTAGGGCATGTTTCCACTCGAAGCTCTTTTCCTGGTCAGTCAGAACCCAAGGCACAAGCTTCGCTGCAACTGTTCTCATTCCCAATCTTCCCTTAAAATTCAATGAACCAAGATAGTCCAGATAACATCCCATCTCTTTAATGGTCTGTCGTCGTTGTTGGCCTTCTATCACAAGTGCATGCATTTTGTCAACTTTTTCGTTCGTTCAGGAAGTTGACAGATTGTCATCAATGGACAAATTCACCTTTTATGAAATGGGAAAAGCACTTGTACACTTGAGTTTTTCTCATAGTGCTGTCCTTGTAAGCTGTGTTCAAAATCACAACAGTTTCTGCAGCATTTTTTCCCAAGCAGAAAACAAAATTTCATAGCTGCATGCTGTTCTCTTAAGTCAGCCATGACAAAAAAATGATGTTTGTGCAAAACTGCTTTCATGAAAAAATTCACTGTGAGCAGAGAGAATCTTTCCAGGTGATAACACTGGGTGCAATAACCCAGAGGGAGCCGCTCGATGCTCGCCTAGTGGGGGAAATGCACACTACAAAAGCTCCGCGAGTGGAGCTTTTTTCCATGTTGAGAGGGCGGTACCCCCTCATATATGAGGTTTTTGGAGGTTCAGTGACAGAATTCTCCCCTTCTATGTGACAAACCAGGGTTCTACTCATAGCCAATGCACCTCATGCATAGCTACCATTTGGTTTATCAGTGGAAGACTAGATGTTGCTATGATTCTAATAAGGTTTCAGTGCAGATTCCACACTATATGATTAGGAAGAAAGTCTGGCGATCTACTTTTGAAAATCAGCCCGTGAAAACCAGTCTGATTCCCAACTGAACACAGAGATAGTAGTACAAGGCTAGGAAGCATTTTCATTCCATTATGTCTGGAGGTGCCATGAGATGAAGGGGACTAACAACAGTAGCACTTAGGTATATCTAACTTACGTGAGTCAGGTAAGAAGCCCTGGTAGTGAAGTGGCGATGCATTGAGCTGCTACCCATAAGATCAGCCATTCAAATCCACTAGCTTCTCCCAAGGGACAAAGATGAGGCTGTCTGCTCCCAGAAAATTTAAAGTCTCAGAAATCCTAAGGGGCAGTTCTACTTTGCCCTATACTGTTGCTATGAATCAGAGTTAACTCGGTGATGGTAAAGTTGGTATGCCAGGCACTATTCTAATTCTTTAAATATGAATCCACTTAATCTTCACAAAAAGTATGTGACATAAAATACTACTTGATCTCTATTTCATGAATGAGGCTCAAAGAGTCATGGGATTCATGGAAGGGGATACTGTGAATATACTCTGCCATCTTACCCTATGACTCACAAATGAAGCTGTGCTTAGGATCACATATATCGACCTGGCTTCTTAGATGAAATGAAAGTGTGGAATTAAAATAAAGAAAGCTAGCTTTTTGTCAAAACTCCTTTTGAAAGTACAACCAAAGCATTTCCCTAACAACAACAACAAAAAATTCAACCTCTTTAAAATGTCTTTTTCAATTCGGTCATTGTGTTATGCTGTTTTTCAGACAGACTTATTTTAGAGTATGCTCTTTCATAAATGGCCAATTTCGTCTGTGCAAAAGAGTCACTTACCATACTGTTACTGAGATTTTTGTCGACTTTGCAGAATGTGTGTGGTGGACTTTCTCCTTTACTGGGTATAATAATACATATGTCGGTGACAGCCAGCGTATTCGGAGTCACGTTTTCAGAGGCTCTGCGGTAAGTGATGTAAATCCTTTGTGACGAAGTATTGCCGCTAATATTTGCAGGGCGTCCATAAGGAGTACTCTGAATAACTTCACAGCCTGGCTTCAATCTTTCTTTCCAGTCATATAAAACCCTGAAAAATAAATACACAACTGTAATCACACAAATACCTGTGCACAAAGCCCTCCTAAACATGAAATGCAGTATCTTCAAGCAGCACAAACTGATTCTCATGTGGCTGTTGATCAATGTTTCAATCTTTTCATAAGTTTGAATTGCGCAGACCTGTATTATATTAAAGAATACGTTTTTCTTTATAAAAAATAATGTATAAATGTGCTTGACACAATGGATGTGATGAGATGTATGAGCCCCCAATAAAATGACCAAAAAATAATGTACAAACAAATTCAGATTAATCTTTGTGTCTGTTGATATAAACCATAAATGGTAACAATTAAACACAAAGGCACCTATTTTAGTACACTATTTATTAAAATGGGTTTTTGTGGTTCTTTTAGTGGGGGGTTCTCTAAAACTGTCTTCTTTAGAAAAAGTGACTTTGTATTTGGCCTAGATTTAAATTTTTACCAAAGGTTCTTTGTCCAGACTATAGGAAAGCTGCTTGGATGCTTGTACCTCTAATGCTTCCCCCTCAGCTTCAAGAGGCAGTTTATGACTTTTTGTTGCTGTTGTTCAGTTTATGACTTTTCAGAGAGAATGTAATCTCAAATCTACGTTTAACCAAAGTCTAGGAGAAAGACGTAGGCTTTAATAAGGGCAGCGCAGGCACCCATTCCTTAAACCCTCTGAAGACTTCACTTAAAGCACTAGGGAAAAGACAACAAGAACTCACCATGCTTGAACATTATTACTTTGTTCCCTCACAGAACTCACTCATTTGTACTTTAACACTAAATGTTTAAACCTCTACTAGATTAAATCTATTTCTGAATCTGCTGTTAAAAACTGTTAATAGTCCATAATGACAATGTTTGACACCCTACTTTGGTGAGCAGCAACTGGCATTTTAAAAGCTCATGAATTAGAATGAACTGGAACATGGACTGATGCAAATATGGTTAGATCAAAATCTAACACCTTATCGTTTGTTCTGGCTTCTACTACTTTCTGTTATCTTTTCAATTGAGGTTGTTCTGTGCTTCATTTTGTTATTGTTCTTGGGTTTTGTTTCTTTGTTTTCTTTTATCTATATGAAGTCCAGGATAGGTAAGGACATAGGACGGTAACTGGATGAGTATTTCTTGAGGTTATAGCAAGAGAGGTTGAGGGAAGAGGGGGAGCTAATAATAATGAGTCCAAGAAAGAAGAAAATGTTCTAAAATTGATCGTGGCAATGACTGCACAACTTTTAAATTTAAGTTTACACTATTAAATTGTATGGTATGTGAATTATATGTCAGTCAAACTGTTAAAAACCAAAAAAAGCTCATGAGTGGCCACCTACAGTGAGCTAATGGTCTCCCCCAATCCAGAGGGAGGAAGAATGATGAAAATCAAAGACATATGAAAACAATTAGTCCAATGGACTAATGGACCATGTGAACATCAATCACAAGGACACTGGAACCAGAAGAATCAGATAGTGTCCGACTACCAATACCAACTGCTCCGAAGGGGATCACGTGTTAGTGGATCCTGGGTAGATAAGGAGAAAAATGTGAAACAAAACTCAAATTCTTAAGAGAGACCAGGTTTATTGGTTAGGCAGAGACTTGTGGAACCTTACGACTTTGGCTCTTACGTCACTCTTCAGATCTGGAGCTGAATTCACCCCCGTGGCTTAATTATCAGCCACACAAAAGGCCTACGTCTATAAGGGAAACAGTAACACTAGTGAGGTATAAACACCTTAGAATAATCAACCATTTGAGATCAAAAGAGCAGAATTTATCTAAGGAAAAACTTCAGAAGGGTGAGGATAGAAAGAGGAATGGAAAAAGAAACCAAAGGTTAGAACTTGATAAGTGACGTTATATTGAGGGAACTGCAATCAATGAGATGAAACACAATGTGTATGAATTGTTGGATGTAAAAACTGAAGACCGGCTCTGTAAACCTTCATTCAATTCACAATAAAATGTTTTTAGGAAAACTATTATAACAGGCAATATGCTCACATTAATCATTGTTTTCATATAAAATCCCACTCTGCAAATAAAATAGAATGATAGCAATTAGTCAAATTCTTTCTTGCTAGTATATTTAAAAAAATCATTTTATTGGGGGCTACTACAACTCATATCATAATCCATACATCCATCCATTGTGTCAAGCACATGCTAGTGTATTTTTTCCCCCACCCCTACCCCCCTAGTGTATTTTTTAAGCTCTTGTTTTGTCCTGGCTGCCAGCAATTTTTTTAACTTGAAATTTTTTATTTTGAAAATTAGATTTAAATGTGAAGCTTAACCATTACAACTATGTTTACCCTAATATTAATTAACTATTCTGACTTATAGCTACTCCATAGGCATCAAAGTAGAACTGTGCTCTACAGAGTTTTCAATGGTTCATTTTTAGGAAGTAGACTATCACGTCTTTCTTTCAAGTTGTTCCTGGGTAGACTTGAACCTTCAATCTTCTGGTTAGTAACCAAGCATATTAACTGTTTACATCACCCAGGAACTCTATGTTTACCCTGATGTTAGCTTAATTGTATACTTCTTTTGAAACCACTGTTATGTGCATTGTTATTTTTGAGCTTTTCTTAAAACTTAAAAAAAAAGGCAAATATTACAGACACATGAATTCAAATTCCTGCGACCCATTTTTGTTGTTGTTGTTAACTAGTTGCATTTCCTTGGGCAGTTACTTAGCTTCTCTGAGACTTATTACTTGCTACTGAGGTATAAATTAAAAAAAAATCTAACTTATAAGATGTTGTGTGAATTAGATGAGTGTACATAACAACTCCAAAATAAACAGTGCCTGGTAAATGAGAAGGCTTCAAAACATTTGGGAAAAAATTCCATTATCTTTAATCCAATTTCTCCAACTTCTTGGAGTCTTTTTATATGTTCAACCAAAAACAGGAAAATAAAAATACAAGACACACAAACACAAATTTATCACTTCAAATCCTTATAAGATAAGGGCTATAAATACATTCGTTACAGAAAATATTTCCTTTAACTGTGCTGCTATTGTGAAAGTTCTCTATTACTATTATTTGATTTTCATATTGCCAGTTAACCTTTCTTGTCTAATTGAACTGTAACTTTCTTTAAGTCAAGAATGATGTCATCTCCTCCAAGACATGAATATAACACGCCGGGACGGACCAGGGAACCAATAGAAGGGTCTGCGGGGCTGGCTCCAATCCCAACTGTGTGGACACCCCCCCTCAGAAGAATGCACTCAGAGGACAGCACTG